AGGAGACTCGCCCTCCAGACGTGCATGAGTATTTGCGGTAGGCACCCAGGGAATGGCAGGTGGCCCTGCTCTGACCTCAGTTTCTTCTTCTTCAAAGTGGGGTTGCGGGGAGTACCTCCCTACCGTGTACTGTGCAGTTTTCACACTGGATTTGACCCCAGAGTCCAGGACTTGAGTCCTTCACAGCTGTGTGACCCTTGGGCAAGCTGCCTGGTCGCTCTCCGCCTCAGTTTCCCCACGCAGTCACCGTGATGCCGCACAATACAGTGAGGTGCCACAGGTAAAGCACACACCGAGTCTTCCACGGACTGGTTGGTGTTCATGGTCATCAAGGAGAGGATGAACGCCAAGAATTTAGCGTGAGGCTGGCACAGGGCAGGGACGAACACACTGAGCTATGGGCCAACTGCTCCTGAGGCCCTTCCTGGGAGCCACCCCCCAGCTCACCGCCGATGCCCTTCAGGGTTCCCCCCGGAGGTCACCTTCCCGGTGACACCGCAGGACCCGCAGATCAAGCCCCCCTCCCGCCAAGCCGCAGGGCTCCGCCTGCCTCTCTCTACACCACTTGCTCGTGGCGTCGGGGCCCTTGCTGAGCTCTGGACCTCACCGGGGTCCTCGAGGCTCTGCTCAGACAGCAGCTGCTCTGGAACAGCCTGACCCAGTCCGGGAATGCGGATGCCGCCACGCGCTCAGCCTTCATCGGCCCTGCGACCAGGGGAGGCTCCTCACTGTCGTTTCCCAGCCCGTGAGGCGGTGCTGTGATGCCACCCGCCTCACACCCAGTCTCCGCTTAGCGAAGGCCCAGCGACACGCCGGACACCGTAGGCCATTCTCCCGGATGTGGGTAATGACCCTTCCGTAATGAATCAGCTGTCATTGATGTAATTATTACCTCTACAGAATAACGTCCAACATTCATTATCGCTCATGGGCACAGACCAAGCAGCTGGGGCCCAGCACACAGTGGGTCCTTAGTAAACTGGTGACTACTTGGAACCGCTTTCCTGCCGCACAGGCATCAGCTGTTACCCTGGAGCTTTGCCCGAGAGAACGGGAAGACGGCTCCTCCCCTGCTCCCCCACGTGGCTTACGTCCCTGTGACTTGGCCCCACCAGGCCACCGACCTGCTGGTCTGCAGCGCCAGCTCCTTCCCCTCCTCCACGCGCTCCGTGACGACTGAAGCACTCAGAAATGCAGAGGGGCCCCGCAGACGGAATTATTTTTGCTATCAAACCCAAATTGGTTTACTAAAACCGTGAGGGGAAACCAAGCAAGATCAATGAGACTTGGCAGTTTGGGGGCCCTGGACCCTGGCCGGGCCCTGCTGTTCTCACTTCCGGGGCAGAAGGCACCTCGTGGAGCAGGAGCCGGTTTGCCAGGGGCAGTCGCTGAGTACTCCTGTCCTTCTGCAAGCTTTGGCCCCTACGAGTGCCTGAAATCCGCCCTGTGCTGCCCGTTCAGAGAAGTCCAGACTCTCCAGCGTGGCCGCGAAGGCCCTCGGATCACAGCCTCCTGGGTGGCCCCTTGTTATTCCCCAGACGGCTTCAGATCCCTGAGGCTTCTCTCAGCTCTTCGCAAGGCCCCAACAGACACGGCGAGTGGGGCTCTGCAAGGCTCTCTCCTATCTCTCTGGGCCCCAGTTTACTCATCTGCAAAATGGAGAGAATTTTAACAGAACCCCCAGTGCACCTGCTCGTTGTGAAGATGCCAGAGACGCACCGAGTGCCCGGCAAATTATACTGTGAGCAGATAACACAGCCCCGCGATCCCAACTCGGGCTGCTCTTTCAGGCTGCAGCGTGACTCCCTCCCCCTTTGCCCCTCTCGTCTCCGTCCTCAAGTTTCCCCAGGCGGCGCTGCCGCTCTCCAGCAGGACCGTCCCTACCCCCTGTGTGCCCAGTGCACCCTTCCGACAGCCACAGCTCCAGCGGCCCGGACACGGGCCGGCGTCCTGGTGGAGAACCGCTGCTCAGACACCGCCTCCCCAGGAAGCCTTTCCTTCACGTCTGCTGCCAGCCTCACACTCGCGCCCCGGGCCTACGTCCCCGTGTCCTGTGGCTTTGAATCTGCCGCTGCTCCCGGGCTGGCAGCACCTGCTTGGCTCATGGCCAGAGCCCCTGTTGCTGCTGGGATCAAACCGAACTCACTCCTGGCAAGACTGGCCGTGGGGCCCGACCGATTCCGGTGTCACTGAAGCCCTCAGGCCCTCCATGCAGGTCACTGGCGCTAGGGAGGACGATGCCCTCCTCACCGGCCCCGACCCGGGCCTGCCTGGGAGGCTGTCCCCTTGCCCGGACTTCACACCTGGTGCCGACTGTCCAGTGGGACAACCTGGATTTAAACAACGCAGGATGGGGACCCAAGGCCCCTGCTTTCGGTATTCTAAAGGCCCTGATGAAAACCCTGTCACTGGAGCTCACAAAGCCTTCCCCCGGGGTCTCCGTGCCACGCTTACTGCACCTCCTAATTCCTAGCCCAGATCTTCTTAGCTACTCCTCTTCTGGCCCCGTGGTAAACGCGAGTGGACAAATGAAGGCCGCATCCCTCGGAGAATTTCTCCATCCTGTGTCTCTGCCCCTTCCCTTTCGTGCAGCACAGATACCTGGACCTGGACCCAGGCTCACATTCTGGCTTTGAAACCTCCTGGCCGTGTGGCCAGACCAGGTACCTATATTCCATTGATTCTTATTTATCGAGCAACTACAACGGGCCAGGCCCTGGTCCATCCACTGGGGTGATGGCAGTGGATAAAGCAGCAAAAAGCTCCAACCCTCAGGGTCATGACATTCTGGGTGGAGGGGCAGGGATGAGATGTGAACAAATGCAGCGGTGTGTGAGGGGGGCAAGTCCTGCAGGAAGCAGGGCGGGTTGAGTACAAGAGGTGGGCTACACAGGTATTAGGAGCAGAGCATCGGTGCAAAGGCCCTGTGGTCTGTAAGTCTGCAGAACAGCAAGAAGGCCGGTGTGGTCAGAGGCAGAGAGAGAAAGAGAGAGAAGAGTGAGTGAAGAGTGGATGTAGGAGGTGTAGCCCTGGGCCACATCCTGTGAGAGCTTTGGTAAGAACTTTGGCTCTTACGCCAAGTGAATGAGCTACGATAGAGTTCTGAGCAGAGAAGCATGTGGTCTGACTTAGGTTTTACTAGGATGTTGGCTTAGAGACAGCCAAGAGAGGGCAGGAGCGGAACAGGGTGAACAGAAGGAAGTCACTTGTCATGACCCAGGCCAATACGATGGAGGTGTGGACCGTGGTGCAGGCGGTGTAGGGACCTGAAGTGCCTGGACTCTGGGTGTTTTCACCTTTTATTAGACTCAGCAGGATTTCCTGAGGATTTGGATGCAGAGTAAACAGAAGAATCCCGTTCACAGCGAATGTGCTGAAGCCAGCTCCTACTAGTGCTGCAGAGCCCACTGTTAAACATCCAGTTTGTTGAGCCTGTAACCACCCTGACATTGGCTGCACTGGAAGTCTTTACACCAGAGAAATTGGCAAGCGGTGAGATCGAGGGCCACGGCCCCCACTTGCTGAGATAACCAGCTGTCGGATGTTTACCAGAGTCCCACGGGGCCAGAAAGACCCACGGTTGGTTTGTCTGCTTTGCTTTTGCCTGGGCAGCTGGTAGAATGGATCGCTCCTTACTGAGACGGGAAGATGGCAGGGAGCAGGTGGGGGGAAGAGATCTGGTGTTTGGGGTGCCCTTGGCCACTGTGCTTCTCACGATAAACTTTGGTGCTGAAGAGACAACTCTGGGGCCTTTTCAGCAGCCTCAGTCCCACTTGGCACAGAGTAGACATCGACAAACCACGTCTGGAAGGAGTCAAAGAGCATCTTACTCCAGACACGAGGGTGAGGGGAGGGTGTGGGGAGGGGGTGGGGCAAGGGGTCCGCTAAAGAGGCAGCAGGGGCTGGGATGCACGCACCATTCTGGCCACAGAGCACGGACACTTTAAGGAGCCCAGGAGAAGCTCCCACCACAGGGCCTCGCGGAGGAGGTGGTGGGGCTCTCCCCGGGCTGGCTGGGCCCCAGGTGCAAGCATTGCCAGCCGTCAGCCTCACCCTCCATCCCCTCGGCCACCCGCTCTGCCTGGAGTCTCTCTCCACTGCCATCTGTCTCTGTCCCCACCCCGCCCTGTGCCCTGTCTCCCAGGCAGTGCAAAGGGCACGGTGAGGAGCTGCCGAGGCCTGGCTTTCCGCTCTGCTCCTGGCCAGCTCTGTGGCCCCAGGACCTCCGTTGCTTTTCCCCCGCATCCCCCTCTGGGGGGCTCTTTCTGAGGTGACCTTGCCACAAATGTTTAGGCCAACCACCTGTGGAGCTTGCCCCGTACGCCCACACTGTGCCCCAGTGGACATTCTGGATACAGCCGCCAATGGTGACTCCCACGGGGCACAGGAATCAGACACAGTCCCGGGAACAGGGCTCCCTTCAGCCATTACTTCCTGAGATCCTTCCCTGTGTCAGGCTTTGCACAAAAGAAAACCCAGACCGGACCCTGATGTCAGGGGGACCTTCTGGTCTAGCCGGGGGACAAAGACAGTGAGTGTGTGGTTGAGTGTCCTTTCCCTCACTGCTACTCTGGCCATTCAGTCCTCTGAAAAGGGCATGCCTGCACTTACCACGGGGCCTTTGCACATCCCGTCCCTTTGGATGCATTGCTCCAATTCATCCCTTAGTTCTGAGCATTTATATCAGGTCCTGGGGAGGCCTTTTCTGACTTTCCTCTTTTTTCTGACTCTCTTCTTTAGCTTAAATTCCCAGTACCGGTTCTCACAGCACCTTAAGCCTTTTTGTTGCTTGCTGAAGTTACGGTATGCAACTCTCTGTGAATGTGCTCATTTGACATCTTAGTGGATTTCCAGGAGGCAGGGACTCTGAGTGTCCAAGCCGTTGGTCCCACCGTGGCACACAGTACGTGCTTCATTAATACTGATTGAAACAGTAAGGCAAGATTTAACTTCCCCAATCTCCCCAAAGTGCTGGATGGGGGCCCCCACAAAGCACTCACAACTGGATATCTAGGAAGATCCGCCTCTCCTCCCCTACGTGGATCTTCCAGACACAGTCTTCACCTTCCACGTAGGGCTCCGGCCAGTTTGGGGACAGCACCACCCCGGCTACAGCAGAGAGCTCTCCACCACACATGGCTAGAAAAGACGAAGACAGACAGATAGACAGACAGGCTTTACTTGTAAGGAAGACAGGAGGGCACAGCGGTTGGGATGGGCTGAGCCTCGGACAAGTGCCTCTGCGCCCCAATCCGTGTGGTTGTGTGTGTCTTGGGCTGAGGCCTGGCGCGGTGGGGCTGAGAGTGGGCGGTGCTTTCAGCATGGAGGACAGAGCTCCGGGCCCAGCCTGTCCCTCTTCGGCCTTTCTGCAGGCGGGGCTGACTGCGGCTGCGCACTCAAATCGGGGGCCCTGGGTGGCGTTTTGCCTCTGCCCCCAGCAGGCTCGGTGACAAGGCGAGTAGCTTCTCAGTCTCAGGCTGCTCCCTCCGTGCCACTGGGGAAACACCACGGCTGCAAGACCAGGCGGACTGCGCTCGGGCGCTGGGCACACGGCGAGCGCCTGCGGATCTAGGTCAGGCGGCCGTGGAAGGACCCAGCTCTGGGGGGGATGAGGCCGCGTCTAGGCCCTCTAAACCCTCTAAATCTGTGCTTGCTGCTTTGGAGGTTCTCAGTGGGGCCAAGGCCAGAGATGTGTTCAACCAGCCCGTTTAATACAGGGCTCAATCCCTCCTTCAAGAGCGCGCCAACCTCGCCTGGGGCGAGCATACCCTGCCGGCCGCCTGGG